ATAGCCACCAGTGAAATGGAACATGGAAAGGAACACTCAAGGGAGGCCAATATCAGGGTGTCCTCAAGGTCAGCTATATCAGCAGGGGGCAGGAGACGAAGATGAAACAGGCAGCGACGAGGAAGATGGGAGTGCTATTCAATAGATACAGAGGGATGGTGCTGTTGTGGAAAAAAAGTTTTTGAAGATTCAAAGAAAGTTGAAGCTGTTCACATCCCTGCATGGGAACCCATTGGCACATAAAGGCTGGGTTTTTTTTTTCTTCTTTTTTTAAGGTGGAGTTTGAGCTTAAATTTTGACAGACCAGCTGATTTTAAATTGATTGATTATGAGGCTGCTCATGATGGACTTTGCATTGGAAATTTATTGTCATTCCCAGCGGGAAAATGTCCTTTGTAAGTAGCAAGGGGTGCTCACCCAAGCATAGAGTGCATAGCACATGGATATATAAATCTCAGACAGGAAGCAGGAAAATATCATTGAGATACTTTCATTGAGGACAAGATAAGGAATGAAGGCGATTTCCTCCTTCTTGCACTACTGCTCATTTGAAGAGAGGAGGACAGAACCTTCTAGTCTTAGCCCTTTCACTCCTATCAATCTCAAATGTCTGCATGTAGAGTAATGTTTGCCATGTACTTCCTCCTGCAGACAAGTCATGTCTGAATTGTGGTTAAGATTATCCCAGGCTTCCTCTTGGTGCATCATTAGAGCAGGAAATGATGATGATTTTCTGGTCTCCTGCCCCCTGCTGATATAGCTGACCTTGAGGACACCCTGATATTGGCCTCCCTTGAGTGTTCCTTTCCATGTTCCATTTCACTGGTGGCTATGAAAGGCTCTGGGTCTCAGTCGTTTCTCTGCTCGAGTGTGGTTTTTCCAGTTCATAGTGTATATCTGTGTGATGTAACTGACATACACCTGCTCAGAACTGGTTTTACTTTTGTACCTTGACATAAATTGTCATCCCTATCCTATTTTGGGCATATAGGTTTATGTAACATTCCTTTTCAGTAGACCCAGTTTTACTGTAATCATGCTGATACCGAATCTTCTGATTTTCTTCATTCACAGATGCTCTAGCAAGTGCAGCATCCCACCAAGCACTAAAAAGCTTGAGCATTGACTTGGCAAGTCATGGCTCTGGCGCCTTGATTCACTCTCAGGGCTCGCTACGTAGACGAGTTGGATCGGTGGAAATTCTGGAAGAACGGACTCCTCCATCCCCCAGTGCGTGGAAGCCTTCTTATGTTCACCTTTCATGTTCCGTCAGTGGTTATTCAGAAGTGACTAGATATAATTCCAAACTTCGAGAAGGATGGCGGTCTCGTGATAACAGCCCAGCACGTATTACCCTTCTTCTCAGGAGGTCTCAAGACTCTGAAAGCTTGAAATCCCCCAATCTAGTAATATCAAGCCATAATCCCAGGGGTGCTTCCACATCTCAGTCCAAGGAGATGCTTTCAAGTCCTTTCAAAGTGCGTGAGATCCAGAGACAGCAGGCTGTGAATGGGTCATCTCGATTTGTGGCACAGAACCGAAGTGTGAGTGCAGATCGTGGACAAGCAAGAAGGTGGTTTTATGTGGAGAATGAGATCCCCATTGATGATACACCGTGTGAAAGGCAGAGTCGACCCACTAGACGAAATATGCTTAATAATGGACCTCAGGTGAATGGAAACCATGGGCCAAATGGAAAAGCAATTCCCAATGGGAATGGAGTGAATGGTTCTGGAGAGAGTGAGAATGAGTATAGTGAAGTGATAGCAAGCGGTCAGTCTTTCATTCAGCAGCGCATCGAACGGCTGTACGGGCCTGGTTCGGGAGCTCAATTGTGTAAATTGAACAGAAGGAAAAGTCAGGCCGAGGAACAATTAGGTCTGGACAAAGAAAACGTGCTGCCATTTCAGAACGGGAAGGAGGAGAATGGAGATGAACAGCCAGCTGTATTTCGTCATCTGAGACAGGAATTCCGTGAACAACTGCCAGCCAAGAAGCCCTCATTGACAGGATCTCCTCCTGTCACATCCCCTGAAAAGACAACAGCTAGTCCAGTGGCCAAAAAAGTGCAGAAATTGTCATCCATAGAGAATGTAGTGCAACCATCTTCCTCGTCGCTGCCTGTTTCATCTTCGTCTCCACCCCCTTCATCATCATCCTCATCTGCTGAGGAAGGGAGTAAGCTGTTGGAAGACTCAGATATTGCCATAGCGCCTCCATTATTTCCTTCTGTTTCTCCAGAGAAAAAGACCACTGAAGTAAAAGATGGTCAATATTTCATGAAAGTGAGTAACTTACATTTTTTATTTCAGTCATTCTCAGGATAAGTGAGGACTGTTTCTTGAATGTAAAAATGTTGCTCCAAACCAACTAGGCTCTTGAAGAACAAAGGCATCAAATAGAGGAAGTGATGTCAAAGGCAGAGGCAGACCTAGCATCAGGACAAGTTCCTGAAGATGTGTGTGGGAGTATTCGAGTTGCGATAGGAAAAGCGGGACTCCTTTGTGAACAGAAGTTCTCTCAATTCCATGGACTCTGCCTGCAAAACATGGTTTTGTTTCTTGAAGTACCTCACTTCCCTTGGAATTACTTGGGATACTGGCAATTCTAAAGCTTTGATTTTTCCCTTAAGAATCCCAGTGAAGGGAATACCAAGGTGACAGCAGAAGATCTTGCTGGCTTCTGGGACTTGGTTGGCATCCAGGTGGCTGACATTCATGAGACATTTGCACGAATTGATCTGCTGAGACAAAATGGCTGGATTGAAAAAACTACTTCACCTGTTAAGGTATGTGCCTTATCCACAGTCCAATCTCAGAAATCAAGAATTTAAGTTATTTGAAATAGATGTGCTGATCATTTTGCATAATACTTGACATTTCAGGAGAAGAGTGCAGGAAAGAAAGGGCAGGGAGGAGCAAGGAAAAAGACCTCTACATCAACCCAGAAGTCCCAGAAGGAAAAAGAGCGAGACGAAGAGCGAAGACGGCGCTTGCAAGAGGCAAAGAAGCGGATGCAAGTACAGTCTAAGGTTAACAGTGATTCCAACCTTCAGATATACTGTCAGTCACAGTCCCCACCCTCCAGTGACGATGTGTGACACAGGAAATCTTTCTCCATTTCACTGGGTGATATCTGGCTCAAAGAGAAGAACAAAGGAACAATGCTGCTGCTTGTTGATGGATTGTGATGGTTGGTTTTGCTGTGTTCACAGATAATGACCTCTGAGTTTTTTTTTCTTTTGTTTGTTCATGTCGTTGTCACTATTTTCCCTGCTGGTTGAAGGAAACTCTCATATTTATTAACTTCTTTCATCAGTCAGCTAAAAATGGGTTTTATTGGAGAACATATTTGAAGTAAGATTCAGTGAAGTGATATTCAGTGATTGCATTTGAAACATTATTCCAACCCCGGACAGTTTTTTTTTTAATTGCATGGCATCTTGGAAACTTTTATATCGTGATCGAATCTCAAAATCCACACATGAAGGGATATGAACAGTTGGGAAGACATTCCCTCAAAAACAGTTTTTCTAACATGAATGAATTCTTTGATTACTTGTCTCTCTATCATGTTTTTTACATTACTGTATCAAATCATATCATGCATATTTGCACATATTACATCAAAGCTGGATCAATGGTGATGATGATGATATGAGAACTCCTTGACAGGGGTTACGTGAGAATGAAGCAGTATTGACTGTCTTGTCTCTATGACTCATGTCCCCAGTTACCATTCACCTGCATGCTGCCCTCACCCTCCATTTCCCTTTCATATTTTCTTGTGATTTCAGAGTCTATAAGGCTTACAGTTTCCCTCATTCTCCCAGCTGGCTTATTTCATGCAGCCAGACTACTCTGCGTTTCTGTCATGCCTTGGTGCTACCTGACTGCATTTATTACCCTTGAGAAGGTTCCTTCTGCAGTAGTTGCTGGATTGTGTATTATTGAAGAGGGTCCAGGTTTGATCCTTATAACCTTTTCATACATTTGTATTCCTCTAATATTTTGACACTGAGACGTACAGCCCAAATGAGAAAGTGATTATGAAGAAAAAATTTCAAGAACTCATAGTTTACATTTTTAAATATCAGCTGTGAAATTCTGAAATCCTCTGATCGTCTGCATGCGAAAACTATTAAACCATTTTCTCTCCAACCTTGGATTCTGTGATGAGTCCCATTGCATTTTTCTGCCTTTCTATGCATTTTGGTCCCACTTGCACGTGTAAAGCACGCGATCTTGGTGCATTCCTCTGTGGCGTCTGCATCGTTTGGTTTGAGAACCTCAGATTTTGAATTGTGAGAGCTTTACCAAATCTCATTCATCCCTGTTGTCCACTTCCTCGATGAGGAGAAAGAAATATTTAATTTTTGTATAATTTATTCATATGTTTATGTTCATATGACTATGAGTGATACTCAGGATTTGAGAGATATGATGGTATCGTATTGCATTGGACGATAAGTGGTGTACCCTGTCCCCCACCAGTCCCTTCCGACCGTTCCACATCCGTTTTTTTATTCAAAATGTTATGGTCGTAATAATGAAATTCAAGACAATAAACCGAAGAAAGACGAAGTCTGGAATACGAATTTATGTTGACCGAGTCATTGGCGAGGCCAAACCTAGAGTCCATTCATTAGGTGGCCCAAGGAGTGCCAAAATCTTGCCGGGATCGGTAGATCGCTGGCAATGTCAAATCACAGCTACACGCCAATGTTGGCGTCCAACCAAAACCTTCCTCAATCGATCTTCATTGGGTTGCCGGATTCTTGTGTAGGGTTGTCTGGGCTGATTGAGCTTCCCTTTAGGGAGGACTAATCAGTTCAATCGACCTCAAAGTCTTAATGGGGGCTGATTGAGCCCCCATTAAGACTTTGAAGCTCAGCCGGGTCGCGCGATTTAATCTGCTGTGTTCGATAACTTTTGGCATTGTGAGAAAACGTTTAGTGGTAAGGGGCGGTGAAAGGCAATGGGTAAAAGAGTTGTTTCAATCTGGCCTCCGGCGGGCCATTGGGGGACTAAACCTTTGACAGGCTTCAGTGTTGTCAGATGGCTCTCTTTTCAGTCAGGTGAGAGAGGTTAATTGGGATCTCAATTCTGATCGAACGGAAGTATGTCGGCAACCTTGATTTTGAAGGGAAATTTCGCCATTCACCTTGCCTCATGTCCCTTGACCTGTCGCATCGAAGCCGCAAGTGTGTCTTTTGAGGCCGAATAGACTTTTAACTCGTGTAACTTTCGTAACATCGATACTCGGAAGAAAATTTTATTTGACCCTCGAGAATGACATACGGCTTCGAAATACTTTATCAGAGCTGTTTTCCAATATCAGCTCATTTTTATACCGTTGACCCACTCGAGCCTCTTCAATCGTTATCAAGTAACGTGGCCTAAATTTTGGACTTCTGACCTGGCACGTACCAGGACGCTCTGGCGTGCCAAGTCGATCTCGGAATAGGTCGTCATTACACGCACAACCGTGTCGGACTTGAAAACGTATTACTCGTTTACGGTTAAACGATGTGGCAATCCAGCCGAGCATTGGACTGCAATAAAGGCGTATGAATTGCCCATGCGGGAAGTGGAAGTATCACGGACCGATTCCTTGATCAAAATTTTGAGAGTGTGATCGGCGAATAACCCTCGAGTTCAAAGTTGCTCGACTCACCGAGAAGGAAAAGCTAAATCCTGGAAACGATCCATTCGATGATTCGAGTTCCCATTCCGGGAATCTTATCGTTCCACCGTTTTGCATCGTGAGCCAACTTACGAATCCGTTCGAGATGAATTCTTGGATGCGAACATTTATAAATGCATTCATTAACCCAGATACACCTGGCGCCCTATATGTAAGACGTCGTGCGGAGTTGCGCAAGAAAATTTCTCTAATGATTCACGTGTCGGGGTCAGACCAGAATCATCCGGTCGGACGTCGACACGATTACACCAGACACTTAACGTCGGCATGATGATCCCGATCGACGCAACCGACACGCGAACCGTTCGAGAATTTTCCGTGCACATCTCTGCCCCACATACCAGACACATCTGGGTTAAGCCGAAGCCAGACGAGACACCGTTTCGTCGGTCGATTATTTTCTCAAATTCCCCGTTTCTTCCTCCGTCGTCCTTGAATCGGTTCCGTTCCGTCGGTCATGCCTGGAAAGCCGAAGGTCTCGGGCCGGGAAGACCTTGCAACGCGTCCGCGTCTCTTACAGGCTTTCCACATGGATTCCACCGAAATCATTTTCTTCTCTGTCGAGCGCCCGCCGATTTCTACAGAATTTTCGTGGAAACGCGTTTGGACGATATCGCAGCGATTCAAGCGATGCTCCTTCGTCCGCGATCGATCCGCGATGGTTTCCCTCGCGAGAGGCGAGATGGCGTATTTCCAGTCCGAAAATCCCTCGTTTCCTTCGATCAAGTTAAAGTGAGGTTGAAGCTGAGTCGAGTTATCGGCATCGATTATCGGCATCGGCATCGATACATGCTCGCAAAATATGTCTCTAGAAACGATGGAAGTTTCCCATCCGAAGTGAGATATTTTCCTTAACGCTTCTGTAGTTTCTTCGAGGCATATCTTCCTGCTTTTCGATGACCTCTGAGCGTGAAACGGCTGGAAACAAACTTTTTTTTTTTATTGCTACGAAATCTACTGACGTCTATTATCGAAGTCGAGCGAACGAGAGTTGACAGTTGGCTTTGCTTGCGTAAGATGGCAGGACCTGTCCTCCCTTCGTCTCTTTCCTCCCCTTTTCCTCCATTTTCCCCCCCTCGTCTTCCCCCCCCCCCCTTTTCCACCGTTTCTTCCTCTCCTGAAGTCCACTTCCAAGTGCCAAATTTTGATCAAGTTCGTACTGCAAGGACCGAAGAAATCTCTCGGATGAAATCGAGTTTCCCGCTGATTCAGATTTAAACTGCCGCGAAAATTTATGGTGGTGAATTTTTTCTTCCCACGTCGTTAAAGCATTAAAACTGCCATGCATCATGCGTCCCGCTCGCAATCACCAGCCTGTTCTTTAAATTGGCTATAAATAACCCAGAACGGTAAACGAGAGCGAGGAGCTCTCGTTTTGCCTCGGGGGCATGTCGAACCGAGTTTTTCCGAGGTTCGCTCGAGAGCCTAAAGACTACGTCTATGGACCTTTAGGGTGAGTTATAAGCACTCGCGAAAGTACTCATTTGTGTGCTGATGCCAACTCGCTCGGAAGAATGAAGTCATGAAGGATAAGTGGGCCCTCCAGGCAAATGGTAAATCACCCACTACAACCGGGAAAAAAGGAATGCCTGCAAAATTATAATAAATTCTGCAGTAAGACAGGCCGTGGTTCAAGAACATCAAACACCAAGAAGAGGAAGGGGGGGGGGGGGGGGGGGAAAACCCGGGGGCTTTTCCCTTTTCTT